ATTTGCTGTGACACTGCCTTTATGCACTCACGATAACAAAGTGTTTCACAGGCATGGAATCCCTACCAAAAGTTAAAAAATTAGAAAAAAAAAAAAAACTATATATAATAATTGAGACAACATATGACATAAATATAGATAGACTGGATGATGTGGGTTAATAAATTTTAAGGCAACACGACACTAGTCATTGACAGATCTAAGGCCAGTTCTCATAGAATTGGGAACGAAATTGATGAAATTAAAATTTTAAGGACTAAAGTGCAAAGAACGACAAACTTTAGGGATTATTAATAATGCAATTTACCCAACGAAAAAACATGGTAAACAACAATGTTTGGCATAAAAAATAATACTATATGAACCTTATTTAGTAATTCTATTTGGTGATTTTATATCATTTTCTACTATTAAACGCCAAACACACCGGTTTTCTAGACTTAATTTGATAAAATTCAAGGAATGGCGTAAGCTGGAGAACAGCCCAGCCCAGCCCAGTCCAAAGACTATTCCAAAAAATTGAGAATGGACTAGGCCTAAAATGAAGCAAGAAACTCTTGACCCAGGACCGCTGATTCCCAGGTTCATCTGATCCTCATGCTAAGCCTCTCTATCTTTGCATGAAACGACAGCGGCATTCTCAAAACGACATCGTCCACTCTGAGCAATCAAAAATAACTGGATAAAACGCCAATTAGGCTTGAAGCCCATTCGAGTGCCAAATTCTTTCATTATTCCTTTATCTATTTTGGCCCAATTGTTTTTGCGATTTTTGTTTCAATAATAGTTACTATCAATAGGTTTTGAACTCTTACCACCCTGCTCCTAAACTAAGAGGAAAACAATGAAAATGGGCATTGAAAGTTCACTGATTCTTTCATTATTTACAAAATAATAATTAAAAAAAAATTTGAGATGCGCATAAGCTGGCCTAAATATTCTTTACTACAATACAAAAAAACAAAGAAAAAAATTCCCAAGATAAAAATAATTGGTAACATCCAAGTAAAGGGGGATTTATTTACCAAAATCATTCACTTTTTAGTGTTGTTGGGCTTGATGATTACTCTTGAACCAAAATTGTCTGCTTATAACTAATGGGCCAACATAAGCCCAGTGCTTTGTGCAACTTATTACCTAAGTAAATTTTAACAAAAATATATTATTTAGACCTAATTAACTCATATAATACATTATGGTGATTGAATTGATAATAAATCCCAACACACGCTAAAATTTATCGTCAACCCCATAGGAATAGGCTAAATTATCATCGTTCCTATTGATAGACCATAAGATCGCGAATTCAAATTTGGTCATCCTATAACGGTGCTCGAAAAAAAAAATATATTGTGACTGAATCTTCCTTAAGGGACTTATAATGAGTTTAGTCCATCAATAAAATTTATTTGAGAATAAGTTCGCTTTTAATCTTATTAATAAAAACTTAAGTCCACTATTTTTTAAAAACTTTAAAATACCCTTCATTAAAAGTATGCCAATTAATTTGTTTACATAAATTTGAAATTCAAATTTAAAGAACAATTGATACTATCTATTTTTCTCTCTCTCTCTATATATATATGTTTTCTTTCTTTTTTACCATGTTGTTGTTCGTGTTACTATTTTTGTGAACATGTTACTATTTTTTGTGGACATATTACTATTCATGTTACTGTTTTGTTGATTATGTTACTAATATTATTTTCTCAAATATTAATATTTAATGTTATTATTTTTTTGTGTTTAAATGTTGCCATTTTTTTGTGTGTTTAAATTGTATTATTTTTTTTGTCTGAATAGTACTATTTGTGTTTAAATGTTACTATTTTTTTAATATTATTATATGTATGTGTGTGTGTATATAAATATATATAAGCGATAAATAAATAGTTATATTCTATATATGGATATAGAAAGATATGAGACATAATTTTTTTTTAATGTTCGTCAAAATCCAAAAATTTAGGAGTTATTAATTTTCAAATTTGTTTTAATTAAACATAACTCTTAGGAGTATTTTAGACAATAGAGATCAAAATAGACTTAATATTAAATAAATTTTTTTCATGGACTTATCACCAAATAAATTCACAACAGAACCGACCTCCAAATTTTATTAAAAAAAAAAAAA